TCATCAAGATCGTGGAGTTCGCCAAGCGCCTCCCGGGCTTCACCGGCCTCAGCATGGCCGACCAGATCACCCTGCTGAAGGCTGCCTGCCTGGACATCCTGGTGAGGGCAGGGGGTGCTGAGGGATTGGATCCAGGGGCTGAGGGACCTGAGGGGTTGGGTCCGTGGGCTGAGGGACCTGGAGGGGTTAGACCTATGGGTTAGGGGACCTGAACAGGCTGCGTTGACAGGCTGGAGAGGTTGGATCCTGGGGTCGGGTCTGGGCCTCTCAAAACAAGAAGGACATTGAGGGGCTGGAGTGTCCAGAGAAAGGACATAGAGCTGGGGAAGGGGCTGAAGCACAAGGAGAAGGGGCTGGAGAAGTTGTGAGGAGCAGCTGAGGGAGCTGGGGGTGTCTGTCCAGCCTGGAGCAAAGGAGCTGAGGGGAGACCTTCTGGCTCTGCAGCTGCTGAGAGGAGGTTGGAGCCAGGGGGGTCGGGCTCTGCTCCCCAGGAACAAGGGATGGGACCAGAGGAACCGCCTCAAGTTGCCCAGGGGAGGTTGAGGTTGGATCTGGGGAACAATTCCTTCCTGGAAAGGGTTGTCAGGCCCTGGCCCAGGCTGCCCAGAGTCCCCATCCCTGGAGGGGTTTCCAAGCCCTGGAGGTGGTGCTGAGGGACACGGGGCAGGGGTGGAGGCAGCAGAGTTGGGTTATGGCTGGCAGAGTTGGGTTGGGGTTGGACTCGATCTTCAAGGTCTCTCCCAACCCAACCGGTTCCGTGCTGAGCTGGGGGTGCCCGGGCCCACCCTGACCCCCCCCCCAGATGCTGCGGATCTGCACGCGCTACACGCCGGAGCAGGACACCATGACCTTCTCGGACGGGCTGACCCTGAACCGCACCCAGATGCACAACGCGGGGTTCGGGCCCCTCACCGACCTGGTCTTCGCCTTCGCGGGGCAGCTCCTGCCCCTGCAGATGGACGACACGGAGACCGGGCTGCTCAGCGCCATCTGCCTCATCTGCGGAGGTGCCGGGACCCCCTGGGCCAAGGGGGCTGTGGGGACAGGGGGACACAGGGATCTCCTGGCCAGAGACACCAGGACCTCATGGCCAGGAGGAAGCGGGAAGAAGGGGATGTGGGGACTTCTGGGCCAGGAGGTGATGGGGACACGAGGACATGAGAATGCAAGGACATGGGACCTCCAGACCAGAATTTACAAGGATCTCTAGGCCAGGAGAAAGCAGAGAGAAGGGGACATGAGGACATGGGGACCTCTGGGCCAGGAGGAATCAGGGACTCGGAGACACAAGGATCTTCAGACCAGAAGGAAGCAGGAAGAAGGGGACATGGGGACCTCAGGGCCAGGAGGTGATGGGGAAATGTTGACCCAGGAACATGGGGACCTTGGGGTCAAGAGGAATTGGGGACATGAACACATGAGGACATGGGGACCTCGGGGCCCACCAACCTGAGTCCCACCAGGCACCTGAGGACGTGGGACAGGCTGGGAGGCAGGGAGGTCACCCAGGCCATCCCAGCCGTGGGGCTCAGGGCTGATCGTGGGGTGGCAGGGGCTGGTGACCCCCACCCGTCTGCGTGTCCCCCCCAGACCGGCAGGACCTGGAGGAGCCGGAGAAGGTGGAGAAGCTGCAGGAGGAGGCGCTCAAGGTCTACGCGCGGCGGCGCCGGCCCCACCAGCCCCACATGTTCCCCCGGATGCTGATGAAGATCACGGACCTGCGGGGGATCAGCACCAAGGGTGAGGGGGCAGCACCCAGGGACATCCAGGGCCTTCCAGAGAACCCCCAGGGACTTGCAGAGACCCCCAGAGCTGCCCAAGCCCCACACGTTCCCCCAGATCACAGAATCTCGGGTTGGAAGGGACCTTGAAGGATCATCCAGTCCAACCTCCCTGCCAGGCCTGACCACCCAGAGAACATCCCCCAGGTGCTGATGAACATCACCCCCCTGTAGATCAGCACCGAGGGTGAGGGAGGGGCACCCAGGGACACCCAGGGGCACCCACAGATCCCCCCCAGAGGCCCCCCCAGGACCTCCTAGAGCTGCCCCAGCCCCACATGTTCCCCCAGAGGCTGAGGAAGATCACCCACTTGTAGATCAGCACCAAGGGTGAGGAGGGGGGGAACCCAGGGGCCCCCCCCCCGGATATTCAGGGAAATCCAAGGACACCCAAGGATCCCCAGACCCCCTCAGAGTCCTCCCTAGAGCCCAGAGCTGCCCTGACCCTCCCAGAGCTGCCCCAGCCCCACATGTTCCCCCAGATGCTGATGAAGATCCCCCACCTGTAGAGGATCAGCACCAAGGGTGAGGGGAGGGGGGGAAACCCAGGGACCCCCCAGGACCCCCTGGGGACCC